CTCCCAAAGTGCTGGGATTACAGGCTTGAGCCACCGCGCCCGGCCTCCATCTATGAAATCTCAATTCAATTATTATTATTTTTTTTTTTGAGGCGGAGTTTCACTCACGTTACCCAGGCTGGAGTGCAATGGCGCGATCTCGGCTCCCCGCAACCTCCGCCTCCTGGGTTCAGGCAATTCTCCTGCCTCAGCCTCCTGAGTAGCTGGGATTACAGGCATGCACCACCATGCCCAGCTAATTTTTTGTATTTTTGGTAGAGACGGGGTTTCACCATGTTGACCAGGATGGTCTCGATCTCTTGACCTCGTGATCCACCCGCCTCGGCCTCCCAAAGTGCTGGGATTACAGGCTTGAGCCACCGCGCCCGGCCTCAATTATGTTTTTTTTCTTTAGCTTTCTTTGACTTCCTTGGGATACAGAGCTTTGTGGCAGAAAACAAGAAAGCATGGTATTTGCATTAGTAACGGAGCTGGTTTAAGTCTTAGCTGAACTCAGGAGGTTGAGGCAGGGGAATCGCTTAAACCTGGCATGGGGAGGTTGTAGTGAGCTGAGGTCCCTCCACTGTACTCCAGCCTGGGTGACAGAGTGGGACTCCATCTTAGCTAAAGAAAAAAAACAAAAAAAAGGCCGGGCGCGGTGGCTCAAGCCTGTAATCCCAGCACTTTGGGAGGCCGAGGCGGGTGGATCACGAGGTCAAGAAATCGAGACCATCCTGGTCAACATGGTGAAACCCCGACTCAACTAAAAAAAAAATACAAAAAATTAGCTGGGCATGGTGGCACGTGCCTGTAATCCCAGCTACTAAGGAGGCTGAGGCAGGAGAATTGCCTGAACCCGGGAGGCGGAGGTTGCGGTGAGCCGAGATCACGCCATTGCACTCCAGCCTGGGTAACGTGAGTGAAACTCCGTCTCAAAAAAAAAAAAAAAAAAAAAAAAAAAAAAATTCTTAGCTGGATGACCTGTTTCCCATTATAAAATGGGCAGAAAACCCTCCTTGGAGGTTGCTGTATCAGAGATCATATGTTCAGGTGGCTGGCATAGAGCATCATCCATGATGGGCCCTCAACTGTTAATTATAATAATTATTATATAATGCATATAGTAATGCATCCCAAAGCCGATACGGTGGTGTGTATCTGTAGTTTCAGCTACTTAGGAGGTTGAGGTGGGAGGATCTCTGGAGTCCAGGAGTTCTTTCCAAGTTCTCGAATAGAACCACCCATTTATAAGTGGTGTAGGGGAATAACACCAAGCCTGGAAGGAAGAGACTGATGGACAGAGAAGCAGCTCATGGATCCTGAGCATGTGGGTGCTGGTGAGGATGTAGGGTGTGGCATCGAAATGGCTGGCACTAATTAAAAAAAAAAAAGAAGGGCCGGGCGCGGTGGCTCAAGCCTGTAATCCCAGCACTTTGGGAGGCCGAGGCGGGCGGATCACAAGGTCAAGAGATCAAGACCATCCTGGTCAACATGGTGAAACCCCGTCTCTACTAAAGCTACAAAAAATTAGCTGGGCATGGTGGCGCGTGCCTGTAATCCCAGCTACTCAGGAGGCTGAGGCAGGAGAATTGCCTGAACCCAGGAGGCGGACGTTGCGGTGAGCCGAGATCGCGCCATTGCACTCCAGCCTGGGTAACATGAGTGAAACTCCGTCTCAAAAAAAAAAAAGAGGTCACAGGCTAATAGAGTACCATGTGCTTGCAACATGCTGAATCCTTTACACACATTTCTGAATCTCCACAACAGTTCCATAGAGTAGATTTTGTTATCCTGCTTTGTAGTTGATGAGACAGGTCAGACAGGTCAACTAATGTGCCTAAGGTCACACAGCTAGTGAGCTGTGATTCTTTAAAAAGAGTCTGGGCCTGGGGCAGTGGCTCATACCTGTAATCCCAGCGCTTTGAGAGGCCGAGGTGGTCAGATCACTTGAGGTCAGAAGTTTGAGACCAGCCTGGCCAACATGGCAAAAACCAGTCTCTACTAAAAATACAAAAATTAGCCAGGTGTGGTGGTGCGTGCCTGTAATCCCAGCTACTCAAGAGGCTGAGGCACAAGAATTGCTCGAACCGGGGAGGTGGAGGTTGCAGTGAGCCAAGATTGCTCTACTGCATTCCAGTCTGGGCGACAGAGACTGTCTCAAAAAGAAAAAAAAAAAGACCGGGCAATGTGGTTCATGCCTGTAATCCCAGCACTTTGGTAGGCTGCTGGTAGATCACAAGGTCAGAAATTGAAGATCAGCCTGGGCAAAGAGTGAAACTTTGTCTCTACTAAAAATATAAAACTTACAAAACAGCCGGGCGTGGTGTTGGGCACTTATGATCCCAGCTACCCGGGAGGCTAAGGCAGGAGAATCGGTTGAAACGGGGCATGGTGGTTCACGCCTGTAATTCCAGCACTTTGGGAGGTAGAGGCAGGTAGATGACCTGAGGTTGGGAGTTTGAGACCAGCTTGACCAACATGGAGAAATCCCTGTCTGTACTAAAAATACAAAATTAGCTGGGCATGGTGGCACATGCCTGTAATCCTAGCTACTCAGGAGGCTGAGGTAGGAGAACTGCTTGAACCCAGGAGGCAGAGGTGAGCCAAGATCACGCCATTGTGCTCCAGCCTGGGCAACAAGGGTAAAACTCTGTCTCAAAAAAACCCCGAAAAAACAAAAAAACAGGAGGCAGAGGTTGCAGTGAGCTGAGATTACGCCACTGCACTCCAATCTTGGCGACAGAGCAAGACTCCATCTCAAAAAGTAAATGAAGGCCGGGCTTGGTGGCTCACTCCTGTAATCCTAGCACTTTGGGAAGCCGAGGTGGGTGGATCACTTGAGGTCAGGAGTTCAGGACCAGCCTGGCCATCATAGTGAAAACCTATCTTTAAATAAATTTTTTTAAAAAAGGAAAAAACAGTAAATAAAAATAAAAATTAAAAACAGTCTGACTCCAAAGCCATCATAGTTCTTACCAGGCACTGGGTGTGTGGAGCGAGCTACCTTTCTCTCGTCTGTGGCCATGGGGGTTACTGCCTTCCCTGGTCCCTGCCTCAACTCAGATTGGGAGCAAATGAGCTCCAGACGGGTTGAATACAGGTTCACTATCTCTAATAGGTCCCTGGCAGTCCCAGCCTCCCTACCGTCTTCTAGTGTCTCCAAGGTTGCTGATGGCTGTCCAGATTAGTAAACCTAAGCAAGAAGTTCTGGCAGCCCAGGTCTGGCTGAGCTGACTTCAGACTCAGTCAGACCTTAAAGGAGAACTCCCTCTCTTTCCCTTAATGCACAGGTGGACAGACACTTGAAACCACTTGTAATGTGGTTCTGAATATGACTGGAAGAGACTCAGCAGAGTCACAGTCTCCTCAGGTGGGGTTGTCATGGCAACCACGGTGGCATCCATCTGGCTTTGCCAGCTCGGGTCCCAGAGGATTTTCTTTTCCAGCGGCAGCACCATCTAGCCCTGAGAGTGGGGAAGAGAATGTGTATATTCATGCTCCCTTAGTTCACCCTGTGTGAACTACCCCATCTTGGGTGAACCTAACAGAATTCACTGCATGCCTGGTGACATAAGAGAGAAAGTTAGTTTAACCTCCAACTCGGCCAGGGACTCTCACAAACATTAATCTACTACAACCCTGTGAAGTGGGCATTATCCCATATTAGGTAATTTGCCCAAAGGCAGTGTCAGAATTATTTATTTATTTATTTTTATACTTTCCTTTTCCTTTTTTTTCACCATGTTGGCCAGAAGGCAGTATCAGAATTTTAACCCAGTTCTGTCTGATTCCAAATATCATCCTTTACTCGCTAAGCCCGCCGCTTACCAATTGAGAACGGCCCAAGTCGCTGCTATCGCAGTGGGAGTTGGAGAAAGAGAGCTGTCAGTGTGGGCGTGCAACGGTCATGCAAGGGGAGGTAGGCCAGGGCTTATATTTGGTCCACAAGCGTGGGAAGAATGCGAAGTAGGTGCAGAAAGAGCAGAACCCTGGAGTCCGGAGCTTGCACGGGATGTTTGGCGCGGTCAGAAGTCCCCTCTGCCTGCAGAGATCACCTACCGAGAGCCCCTTCTGTCCCTCCAGGATGGGGAAGTGGCAGGTGATATTGGGGAGGTAGGCTGGGAAGGAAAACTCAGCCG